GGCTCGAGAGGGCGACGCGTCACTGACTATATGTGAACAAACGGACGTAAGAAACTCGGGTTGATCCACGATGTCCGCACGGTGGTTCTGTTTCTGGTCGTATGCGATACGACGCGACGCGACGCTGCTGCGCCTCCGCTCTCCGTTCGGTTTCCTCGTTGGTCGGCCGTGTGTCCCCGGTGCCGTGCAGGTTTATTGGTGCGGCGGGGCGTTAAATTATTGATGCTCGACCGTGCGCCGCGAGAACGCCGAGCCAGAAGAAAGAGAGAAGAGTACCGGTGGTAAGGACGGGTCCTGTGATTTCAGAAAAAGCTTTCCGTGCCACTCGGTCCATCGGTTCTTTCTCCCCGTCGGTTCACGCTCGTCCCTCTCCTCTTCCTCGGCCTCTCTGCCTCGTCCCGTTCCTCGCCGGCCGAGGCCGATCGCGAACCTGTGCGGGGCTCGAGCTCTTTAAAAGGGAAGAAGCGTGGGGGCGACGAAACGCCGCTCGTTGTGGGAAAGTTTCGCGTACGAGCCGGAGGACGCGCGAGAGGACTCGGCCACCGCGCGAAAATCGGTTCGAAGATTTCCCTTCGAACGACACGTTCCTCGCGGTACGTTCGTCAACGTTTGTCCTCCCGTTCCGAGCACGGGCTTCGCCGCGATTCCTCCGGGCGACTCGAGCGAGAGACCTATTTCTCGTCTCGTTTTCCTCCCTTCGCTCCCGATAAGACTAAGCGAAGCGAAACGAAAGAGGGGCGGAGTTCCGAGTTTCGAATGCGCGCTCCCCGAAACGAGCTGTGGGAAAGTTGATATTCGTTGGCCGAGGAGGGTCCCCCGCTATAGCGGCGGAATGTTAGCACCGCGAATCCCTGGGAAGAAGCGGGAACGGTAGCGGCGGTGGACGAAGAAGGCGAAAAAGAGAAAGAAAAGGAGGCGCAGAAGCCGAAAACGATCGGCAGCCGACCGGTTCGGGCCGGTTGAAAAGGGTTCGACACTCCTTTCGCTGGAAAGTACGGTAAACTTGGTGACAAGTGGCCCGTTCTCTCGCGTTTCTCTTGCCGGTCCCGCGAGCGCTGCCCTCTTCACCGTACTACCCGGACTCGTATTCGTACCCGTGAAACGCGCGCGCGCAGGCGACCGATTACCCGGAAGAAGTTAGCGAACGCTAATCGAATTGGCCTCTCGATTCGGCGACCGCTCGTTTCCCTCCGACTCGAAACGCGGCGCGGCCGTTCACCAACGGAAAAACTGGTATCGCGTCGGCTGTCCCGGCGCGCCGCGCCGCAGCGTATCGCTACGATACCGACGCTCCTCCGCGAGGCACGAGGCTCCCGCTTCTTGCGCCTCGGATCCTTCTCTCTCGGGCCTTTTACAGATCCCCGAAGATCGATCCTTTCGGCAGATAACGCGCGCGTCCTCCTCTTTGAGATTCCGTGGCGGAGGTGTCGGTGTTCTCGCGATCGAGCTCGGATCGCGAAAAATCGCTCGTTCCGTGCCGGTCGTACGTTATTTCCGTCAGGGGGTTAATCGATACCGGGAATCTCGCCGCTGTTCTTCTTCCTCGAAGCTCATGCAACATTTAACTTTCCGCTATATTCTTCTCGGCCTCCCGGCTCGCGCTTGCGATTCCCTCGCTCGCCCCTCGTTCTGCCCTTCCTCGTCCTCGTCGCTCGCACGATCGCTCGTCCCGTCGCGCTCGTCCCGCCACAATGTAAGTATCTGGACGTTCCTTTTTTTCCACCGTCTCTGTCTCCCTTCTCGTTCCCGTCGGAAATACCGATACGTCGGTCGAACGACCGCGTGTGTCCGTCTTCGTCGTTCTTGCTCGGCCGAAGTTGGCTCGAGACGACACCTGCCTTGGATTTACCTCCAATACCTGCACCGCTGCGAGACGAACTCTCTCCTGCCGCGCTCGCCACCGCTCGCTACCGCTCTCCTCTGTCTCTCTCGGCGCGTTCCCTCTGTGTAGTCGCGG